CTTCCAGAACTCCATTGATAAGCACTGAATACTCATCCGACGCATCGTCTTCTTTGACAATAGATCCATCAAGAGGGCCCTCTTCCATGACATCATATTTAACCGCCACTCGCTTCACTTGCCAGCTTCTTTTCTCCCGTTGCGTCTTCAACAGTGATTCGCGTTCTTCGGGTGTCGCCACTGGACAATCTCGAACCCAATGACTTCCTTTTCAGTGTAAGCAACCGTGGCGAGGTCCGGATCCACTTCCACTCACGTTTCTCCTACAAGCGATTGCATCTGAAGGTCGCGCCACTTGATCAGACGTCGAAGGGTTATTCACAGTTGGCTCGCGTTATACCGGTGCAGTGCGATTCCTATCCCTATTAGAAAATCCTCTACCCGGTTTCTTAGCACTTTCTTTGGAAGACCGATCCCGCCCATGGAATCTGTTGTAGTACAGCTGTTGCAGCGTGGCTCGCTCGAGTACCAACTTGTATAGCAGTTGACCACGCGACTTGACGTTCTTATACTTGAGCTGCTTCAGCATTCCCTGGGTTTCCTCCTTCAGCATTGGTGGTTGGAGGTTCTCCACCAGTATTTTGTTCTGCTCCTTCATGCGATCTGTATAGTCTAGGTCCCATGTCCGACTACGACCCAGATTCTCTTGAAACCCATTCTCTTCAACTATTTGCACGATAGCATCTAGTATTTGGATACACGACTGGGAACATCTTCAATGGAGAGATTCATTTTCAATTGCTTGGTGAATAGGGCGGACGGGTCACTGACGTACGCCTCATTCATCGTTTCACATCGCTCTTTGACCTTATCAATGATCTCGTCGTCGGAGATGTCTTGTTTGTCTTTGCCAAATGCATATTGAGACAAGAAATCCAGCAAGTTGGGGTCAATGGTGGTGCGGATACCAGCTACCACATTCTCGAATGGCTCGTTGGTCCACCAACAACGTTCCCGCACACGCTCTTCGTACTGACCCAGGGCCCGATGCTACTGTACGAGTGCCGTTTGATCCCACATCTTTGGCGGCGCAATATATTCGTATATTGGCTGCGGAACAGACATGTCCACATCATCGTCCGTCGCTAGACGAATCCGCGACATCTTCGTTGCTTTTCCTACGCTTCTGCGAACTGCTCGCAACTAAAGTATACTTTGTAGTCTCTTGTGCTGTTCAATGCAAATGCAGTAGTGCTCTACTAGCTCTCTCTCTATGTGGGCTACGGAACGTGCCTCTTCGCAACCGGCGGTTCTTGTGGACCGCTACCCACTGTAGGGTGTTGGCAAGTCTGATGCCTGGATAGCCGTCCACACCTCTCTATAAAGCTTGGAGACTCTGATACTTTGATTATAGACCAGATTTTGAGACAAGACTCATGGTACGGCTTTTTTTTCGTGAACAGTGGATCGACTTCAAGTGGGCGCCACGCTCTTCTTGCCTTTAATCATATATTTGCCTCTGCTAACACCTAGGATCGTTTTGGTGAATCATGAAATTACGATATCTTCTGTAAAGGGATGAGATTGTTCGACGATTTTAATTTACATATTGGTAATTGCCATGAGTAGAGCTTGAGCGACAGAATCGACACTAAGTCGTGGTGTTCACAATAGACAAAGCATTCCGTATTCTTCAGAGTGTATACTTGGGGGTACCGAAGGAATTACGATTAGACTGTAATGTTATTTACATCCGTGCACCGATGTGATTTCAACGCTGAGTGAGCAATTTTGTGTGACACGCCCCCCCCCGCGGTTAGAGTACGGATTTTTATTCACTCCTGGGTGAGTTGTCTAAGGGTTGTAAATCTCCAATCATTATAACAGTCTTGTTGAGCTTGACGATCTACGGTGCTTCGCTCCAATTTCTCAGGCTTCGACATGGGATTGCGATACGGTGAATCACAGATTTGGTCAACTTGGTACTAGCAGGAAAGCTTAGTTCAATTAATGTCATGAACGACTTCATTACAAATGAACCGATTGCGGGGTAAGATAAGGATATCCACAAAAATCCTTTAATTTCTTTTTTCTTCATACGAAATTTGACAACTTGTTGACGAGAGATTCACCTCGGATTTGCCTCGTGAACTAAGAGCGCATCATAGGATTGACCCGGTTCCAGGAATCAAATATTGTACCACACGTCAATGACCCTTACCCAGGTAACAGTGCGACATCATGTACATATTCGTTTGCGCACAGCAAGAAACGGGCTCGATGGACTAAAAACTCTTCTCCACTCGACACTAACTTTCTCTTTCCGAACGGCTCACAACATGTCAAGCTGTGCATATCTACGCCAAGATTAATGCAGCCGTTAATCCGGCGTAAGTTCTAGATTCTTGGAATGGTCTGCAGCAGAACAGCCGGGCTGGTTGCGCTTTGCTCGATTATCTTACAACCATCAAATGCACATAAAGGATAGTGCATCCACTTTGCTGTAGCCGTCTACTACCGCACCAGCGATGTTTAAGTTCTATTGCTGTTAAATCCCATCGTCATACGTACAGACTAATATCTACGATGTATAAATCCATAGTTGTGCAAGATACGGGGGTATGCTTAATGTGAACATTTACGTCAAAATTGCAACAGTGATCGACTGAATACGCTTTTCGAGAATGTTTGTCAACGTATTCAAGTGTATCATTGGCGCAGCGATTTTCATATCTAGCTACTTTATCAGAAATCAAGATTTACGGTTAAATGCTGCAAAGATAAAGGCTACTGCGGATCTTTCAAGCCGCAGTTCAAAGAAGGGTTGAAAAGTGGAGTGACCTTGTTGGCGTCTTTCTCATGTATAACATCCTTTACACCGACAAGTCACGGGCCCCAACGAATTAAGGTCAAAACTATGAGCGAAAGCCTCATGCGTGGTCCGATTCTGATAGCTCCAAATTTAAATCGGCCATTTTTATAATGTCTTTGAAGCTTTCGCCTTTATGTAGACAAGCAAATGCGAATGGGTATGAACGCGTCACTTGCCAACCGAAAGCAGCTGAAAAGATATAGATCGTCCATTGCATTTGCAATGAAAAATACACTGTTGTCAAGTACAAAAGGCTCTAAGCTGTTTTCGATTAGTACGAGTTTTGTCTTCTGGCGTGCATCAATGTCGTCATCGCATCACGCAGAAAATGGCAAGATTATCATCCGTCTATGCCGACTATAGTTTTAAGGAAAAGTCTAAGTTCGGTCGGCATAGAATGTGAGTGGATGAGCTTATGCGCCCTTTAGTTTAGTATAGATCGAACGTCACGATGGTGACCTCGCGCTTCGACAAAGCGACGCGTTCGATTTTGGACTAGACGTTGCATGCGCTAAGCTTTGCGAAGCGTGGAGAATTGAGCTTGGATCTCGCTTCATCAGGTCGTATCTTCTTGATCAAGTTTTTGTGGCAATCGTTGTGGATCACGAGAATAAGTTTATAATGATTCGGATTAGTATAATTAGGATCTCATCAACAAAATCATGGCGTGATCATCACGAGAAAAAAATGTATACAAACAGTAGAGCACGCCGCCGAGACTCGACAGTGCGAGAGTCACTCCACGGTATCCATAAGAAATGCAACAATTGAGCACTGTAGTTTCTGTTTGTCGCTCAGCGCTTTCCTGTTCTTGACATGCTGCGTGACAAGCACATTTTTCGATATATAGACCTCTTGGGTTTGTCTTTTACAAATCAATGTCTCGTATGCCCAGTGGTACGTACATTTGCAGTGCATGAGTGGACGATGAGAGAAGATCTAGACAAATTCAAAACTGCCACAGTACCCATTAAACTTCTATCGACAATATCTGGAACTACTGTCGAGAATATATGTCTTACTTTCTGCAGCATCTCTCCAGCACCCCAATGGTAAATCACAAGCAAGAAATGTGCCTCGTGTATGTGTTTTTTTGCTTTTCCATTACTATATTGGTTATTGATCACACGTACCAATAAACACCGGTAAACCTCTAAATCAAATCCGAAGATGTGAAGCTGCTTCTAAACTCTTTTTAAAAGTCATTAAGACATTTTGAAGCTTGTTTGATACCAATTATACCCGTGAGTGTATCGGCCAATGATCAAAACAATTAATCACGTATCGATTTCAAGGCGATCTTCTGGAGTCGTTTACCCTTTGGAGTCAGAAAATTGACTTGTCCAACTGGATTAATCAAGGTTTTTTTGCGTCTCGTCTCGGCTATGCATTTATCATCACATTTAACGATTTGAGGCTGAGTTCCCGACAAAGAGTCAAGGGTCATATGTATGAGCACATCATTACGTATTGATGATTAACTCGCCTGTGAAAACCCATTTGAGCACGTATGGTCGGTGAGATCATCATCACAATATACCGCAGCAGTAAAGGTGCTATCGAAGTTTACGACTTCGAAAGCCACGCGACTACTCATCCCTACATTTGTTGTCGGCACGTTTCAATGACATGGCTATTGATGTCTTTTCCTCTTGCTCGCAGCAGAAAAAGCTCGAATTCCACGTATGTCTTCAAACAATCTCAACATCTCTTGTTGATCAGTGCTATGACTCTGATAGATATTCCCATTTGAATTATTCCAAGAATTTATACATCACTCTCAGCTTTCAGGTACTCACTTGCAAAATTAAGTTGCCCCCCCAAAAAATGTTCTCCCGATCCTTTCTTGACCCACTTCCAAGATTCAGTTTTTTCTTCCACTTGCTGTTATGTCTATATTCGTCGGTGTACTAACAACCTCATGCGTCGCGTTATTATAGACAAGCCGCTTTTACGCGGCTGATTTGTTGCATACAATATACTTTTATACCTTGAAATCAGTACCCCTCTTGTGATTTCTAATTCCGAGTGACTTGACACGACATTGTTAACCATGTCGCGGCCAGCTTGTCGACCCCTCGACTGTTGATCTCCGAAAGTTAGACAAAGTGTGCCAATCAGTCAGTATCATGAGCAAAATTTCTACGATGTACATTTTATTCGGTAAAAATGTCATTCTTACAGTCATGCTCAGATCAACATCTTAATAAAGACCGATTTTTCCACTTGCACGCAGACATCATTCGTGGCTCATCAAATTATGGTGCAAATACAGTGAAAATTGAACCCCTTTCTATGCTTTGCGTTAAAATGATTTTAATTGCAAACGTTCACAACAAACGCTGTTTTGCATGTTTCAAGCTCGCGTTAAGAAATATTACAATACAACTTGGCGACAATGATATCGCTACGCCGATCTGAGCAGAATTAGCCCAACACCTTTTCCTTAATTTCTTCGCTTCATGCTAAGCCTGATGCTTATTATGCTAGGAGCGATGGACTAGCAAATATCCTATCCCCTCCACCATTCCCTTGGTGTAGCTCCTTTCCATTGTCCCAAACATCAACCACACCAGGAACTTGACCACTCACTTAAGCACATTCGGGCACAGCGATCTTGGTAAGGATAGTAATGACCATATCATATCGTATTTTTGACGCTATATATTGAAGTTGAACGTCGTTTGGTGATTAATTTTTTGACGTACAAAATGCGATGTTAACATTCCGGCATGCTCTCGCCATTGCCCACGTTTCTGCTGACAACAGTTCTACTTGCCTGCTCGTATAGCTACGAGTCAATCGGATCTTGGATTTAAGTCTGGGCTTTGCTCACGAGTGATAAACGCCGTGCGCCGCATGACGCTGTCTCGTGTCACGTAGATTCAAACGTCAGCGATGCCAACTCAATGTTGCCGAAGTGAGTCCTCAAAATCTCTTGAGTTTTTAAAGAATTCAATTTGCTTCACAAAATACTAGTTGTACCTGTGGCGAACACACCATCGTAACGGCTTGCCCTTGCTCAGTGTCCAAAATTATTGGCTTAAGGCGCATCAAAAGGCTTAAAACCGGATAGATCCTATGGAAGCGGACGGTAAATCAGCTGCGGGGGACTCTTGGAATATTGAATAGTATGTTTGCGTTCGGATCACCCATTACACTTTGATCATGTTACAGCTTGGGCAAGTTGACAAAGAACATGAGCTGTATCTCAATTCGCATCCGGTATTACGAGCGTCCGCAGTTATCTGCATCTGATAAAAAGTTCCCCCACATTAGATTAAGGTTCACCTTTTCGGCCCTAGTATCTGCGTGTTATTTTTGCCATTCTTGCCTTTCAGCCATAGGTGAAGTACTTTGCGCATGCCAATAAATAAAAGACCATTGTATCGCAATACAGTATAGCTAAGAGGATACGAGCAAATCGATCCGGCTAGGCATTTTTTCACCCTCAGCACCCCCACCAACACTAAGAGTGAACTACTTTGGAGAGAGGTCAAGGAAACATGAGAGTCATTAGATCAAAAAATATGCGAGGTCTGCAGTGGCATGTAAATGCATAAATCAACGCAAATTGAATTATGAGGGAATGTCCTTTAAGCGTTGTGGTTGCTCCGTTAAAACATTCTCGTGAAAGTTATCTTCACAACTCACTTTGCTTTGATCATCGATCAATAGTCTGCGTGGACAAAAGCAGTCGTTTGTCAGCCACCTTAAATTTCTGCAAAATTTTATGTACAACACGGGGTTCAGTTTATTAGTTTTTTAGCAAGATCAACAGAATTTGGTTTATTACAGTTTGACAATAATTCGACTGTTGCCTACATCAGATTGACTATTCTTTCATCGTTGACGATATCACCGAGGCGAACGCTCGTTGGTCAAAAAATTCTCGAGAGCACCAGAAGTATTCCTTCCAATGAGCTGCAAGGCTCTTTGAAGGCGCTATGCATGTGGTGTATACTATATCGTTGACACGTTTCGCGTGTACGCACATGAGTCCTAACCCACCGATACATTTTAGGCCACAAAGACGTGGCGCTAACTGAGTCGACGATTTCCATAATCTCTTGATCGAGTATCGTGTGCCTTAAACAGAGGTCTGGACATGAAGAACATCCATACGTTGCGTGTATAGTTTAATCGAGCTAGAGCGCAGTAGACATCAAAACATAAGGTAGCGGTGTAATTGCGCTTCCATCACTCTAGGTCAAGCACTATCTAGATCGATTACCCCATGCAAAGCAAAATTTTCATCAGCGTCACACAGTCTGCGTCGAACGTGTACGCAGCACGGATAGCAGCGTCGATGCTTTACATCACCGTTGGGATATAAGATAATTAGTAATATGAGCGACAGTTCATTCTCCATTGCTCAAAGTTGCGGTTTACCTCAAATGTCGATTATACAGAGAATCAAATGACTATCCCGTCATTTTATGAGAGAGAGGTAGCGACGATGTCACCATGCGAAATGACGCATTGTCCATCCATATCACAAATGGCTTGAGCCGTCAGGATGTACTTTTAACATGAATATTTGCTATCTTCACGACAAGAAGCTCATTTTCGTCGATCAAACTCGGGTTCTCTGCAACTTTAAGCTGGCGAGACGTATACAAAAAATGCAGCAATGCTCGTTTGCTCAAAATTTATCAATACTATATTAAAGATTTGAATACTTTGTTTGGATATAATAGAAAAAGTGCATAAAGCATTCGCTTACAGTTCGGAAGGGTACCGCTTATTTTGTTCCCCAACAACTACTAATGTTTGGTAAGTAGAATGGTGAATTGCCGTGTTATGCTATACAGTACAATTTTGCTTTTATTTGTGCCAGTAGTTTGTCAGACCAAAAACATTTATTTTATTTATTGGTATAGTGATACGAGATAATCCTCTATATCCAGGCCTCATGATGAAGCTTTTCAATAATGGGATCTCGGTGCTTGTTGATGTTCGAAAAAACAGACACTCAAACACGGCTCGCCAAGTATACAACATTATTGCCGACATCTGTTTTTGCTCTGTAATCCTATGGACAAAAACTGTCAAAAGAGGTTTGCTCGACGAAGGTTTTACTGCTGCATAACTAGACAGGCGAATGCTGCTGGTACGTGACCCAGTCCCTGGGAGGTGATCAGCAGCTCCCAGACCATCCAACCGAAGAATTCACTTCAAGAGTTAAATTTCACTATATTTTACGAGCTCTGGATAATTTCTTATGTGTTGAATAAGTTACCATCAATTATAATTCTATGCTGCGCGGTATTTTGAGAAATCGACGTTTGCAAGGTTGTGGTGATTCCGTCAATGTTAAAAAGCACATGCACTTCCAAACGTGCCGTCCACCTTTCTTGCAAGAAAGTCGGAACGCATGGATATTTTGGAGTTCTTTTGGAACCCGTTTTGCACTTTGCATAAAAATGTGTATAATGTCACAACGTTTTTTTGTTAAGGTTTGTTCACGTGTGACATGATAATTGATCTGTAAACTAGGTCTATTGCATGACGCACTTTGCATCGTGGTGAAAACCACAGCGGGTTTGTCGTCACCTCGTAATTCTATGTCCACAAGAGCAATAAAGGTGATGTACAGAATTACCGAGCACAGCTCTTCCGCTCCCCACACTCAGTGCTTATTAGTTGCGACTTGCCGTGACAAATGATTAGCTCATTTATATATACTTCTATTTCATCATCTTGCAAAATATTGCGCTTTTTTCCGAGAGAAACCTTTTCAGGCTAAGCGACGACTCTGAGAGCGAAGAATGATATTTTGTAGGACTGCTTGGTCGCTCCATTCACGAGCGAATAAATGTTTGCAGCGATCCCATTATAAGTCATTTCTCGCACGATGGGAACACGGTCCGTCACACCCAAGAAGGATGAACCATCCGAATTAAAATCAGCACTTGTTCCTTCTTCTGGCGGCTCACAATCACGGTTGTTTGTTCTGATGAATGCCGCACACTGATACGTTAGTCCATTTCTATAGTTTAAACACTGAGAACCATGACACACAGTCTACCTCTTTCGTTCCACCAGTATTGACTCCAAGGGATCTTAGCTCATATTTAGTATCTGTCTATACAAGCTACCTTATAGACCACGACACAAACTCGATTATTTCCATCCATTTAAAATTTTGAGGACCATGGCAACATAAGATCGATAACTACCACCCCAGACGATATATACACTGGAAACGCGGCTCACAGCAACTTCCTTGGAGCTTCATATAAGGTATCGAGCGATACTGTCGGCTTTTGTCATTCTGAACAATCCCTTACCCTTCCTAACGCTATCACAGTTCTGCTTTGCGTCATAGGTGGCTCTATAACTCAAAATTTCATATTAGGAAAAGCTACATGGCAAAGGATTTTGACCTGCAGTCTAGAAATGGATCGCGTCGCTCTTGTTAGGCACGTGCTTGGGATGAGAATCTATTTCAAATCCCAGTCTTACCTAGCTGTGCGTCACGCTATCATTCTAGGTGAAGGATAGGAAGCATTCTAGGTGAATGCCAGGAAGTAGCATCGACGTAATGACAGATATCCCCGTCATGAGGCGCAAGGAGAAAGTGTCAACATTCGAAAATGTTAATATCTTTGCATACGTTTCAATGATCTAACAGTTGAAGATCATACGTATCTTTACGATACTCTTAGTTCTATCAGACATTCCTTGGCACCACAAAGCCCGCAATGTTGACGTCAATTATGCACAAAACTAATTTACAGGATCCTTCTTTCACAGCGAGCGTTCTTCTTTGAGATATGAGTCCACTAACCACGACTTCCGCGTGGTACAATCTAGCTCAATTCTCTTTGGTAGGCCGCCCCGTGCCTTCTAACGCATGAAAGAGTCTGTTAACTAGGCCTGCGCAAGAGCTCGATCGTTTGTACATCTCATCGTAAAATGTAGTGATCACACGGGGGGCACATTTGCCTGCAAATACCAAGCCGCTGTTTTGCAGCCAGCGAATCACTCTGGCTCGGTTATCTATCTTGTTTTATATATGTATTCGAGCGAGCGTCGCGGGTTAAAGCTATCCAGTATTCAATAAATTCTACCCAGACCGACCTTGCGGACCTAAGCGCTTTCAAAAGTGGCTGGATTCAAGCGGAAGGCCTCGAGTGAATCTTCACCCACATGAAGACCCACTTAATTAAATGGTAGCTTTGACCAGCTCAAAAAAGGTTCACGACAGTTTTAAGGGATTAGCTTCATTAATTTTGATAAGAAAAACAAATGAGACCACGTTATTTATCTAACTTGACGTTTAATTGAGTTAACTACAGAAGAAGTGCAACAAATGCAAAATAAACAACGCAGTTTTTCTTGCCAGACGTTGACATACTATGTGTCGAATTCATTTGCCAATAAAGCGCCACTTTTGGCGAAACCAATTTGAAGCAGCGGGGCTGCCTTGTACTTGCACATATAATCGTTGACTCACAGAGCCCGAGTAAATTAACACACAGTTAATCAGTTTTGTCGTTTACCGAGACGAGAGATGCAGCGGGGCTTCCGTAGCTTTGCGCTTAGAGGAAGCGGAGGTTAGGTCACCGACCTTTCGTTCTACACTAAGAACAAGTACGAGTTTAGCGGATCGCAATCCGCTTAATCCAAATGTAATTACAACCTTAACCCAAGGCTAGTAAACTCTTTCGTTTGAATTCAAAAACTGACTATAAATTTTTATCTGCGGCAAACCCGCCTAAAT